AGTCAACCCTGAGCCGGTGAGATTTGAACCGCTGACCTGCTGATCTAGCAGTAGCCTGCAGTGCTGCATTTAACCACTGCGCCACCTTGGCTTCTGATCTTCCTGCTGACTTGTACATGGTTCATTGGGATGGGCTAGGAGCACAGTGATGTCATAGTTTTAACAACTATTGTAATTATTTCTATCGTGTATATATCCCTTTAAAAAGTTTTAAGTACCTTTCTGTTTTGAGTATCTCTATTATTGTTTAATGTTTTAAACAATAGTATAAACCAAATAATAAATAATCTTTGTAATCCCCCATTTAACAAAAAACCAATAAAAGCAACTGAACGTAATTAGAAAATACTAGATCTTTAAAAAAATGTATTCCTCCCTCCCCCCTTGGATTTCATAAATCTTTTGGACTTTGTGGAATATGACATCTTGAGGCAGTCAAAGTATTATTTCCTAAATCTACATTACTCCATCTCTTTTTTAAGATCAGGGATGGGGAGAAACTAGGAAATTGTAAGTTTTAGTCCTGCTTTAGGTACAAAAACTGGCTGGATACAATGTTCTTAATACCAATAGGGGAGTTGTTGCCCATAGCTGAGAGATTCCCTGGTTACCTCCTGTTGAAATACTAACTTGACAGCTCTTCAAGGTAGGCCAAGTCAGGAAACAGAAACTGATATTAATTCTGTAGTATCAGAATTAAATAATTTAATAAAATGAAATTAAAAATCATTTTCCTCTGCTTGAGCTGGAATTATGAGGTCATAAATTTCTTTGTGAATTTAACTGGAAGTTGTCCATTGGAGGCTAGGACAAGGAAAATGTTCTTTCATAATGATCTTAGATCTTTAAACATGGAGGAATACACCCTCATTTCATACAAAGCTTACTGTTCCCTTTCTGTTCCAAAGGTGGAACATTTGGTGTTTCCTAGAATATACATTTTTTTTCCAAAATAAACTGACCTGGTTTGATAGTTTTCTGAAAGTAAAATTTCCAGACCATGAAGTGTTTAGGAATATTCTCAACATGCCTTAGCTCACCTATCCTGCCAAGAATAGGCAATTACCTCTCACTGATTTAATTGTTCAAGAGATGCAAGATTTGAGAAATCTGATCTCAGTTCTCATCTCTCCACACACACTGACCCAGTAATTCAGCAATATCGAAAGAACTAGTCCTGCAGGCATGTCCATGCCTTTTGCTCCCACATGTTTACACTTTAGATCTAACATTTGGGGAAGAACATTCCTTATTTATCTGATGTATTGGATGTCTATAGCAGAGGCCATTCTCTTATTTAATACCCACTAGTTGAATTGGAATCCATAGATCCATGGGAATTTTGGGAGTTGTAGCGCCAATACCGTGATGGCGAACCAATGGCATGAGTGCACATGTGGCATGCAGAGCCCTCTCTGTGGCCGCATGATCCATCATCCCAGCTCAGCTCCACTGCGCAGGCAGGCACACACGCCTCCTGCTGGCCACCTGATTTTCAGGTGTGCAGCACAAGCGCGGGGGCATGGCGCATGCAGGAGATGCACATGCATGCATGGGAGCCGTACATGCATGCGCAGGAGGCGGAGGGCGTGGCACACTCCCCCATGGCCCCACAGCCCATTTTTGCTCCCAGGAGGCTGAAGAGAAGCCTACTAGGCCCAAAACAGGGCGCAGAGGGGGGCGATCATGGGAGGAGGGCTTGCGTGCGCATGCGTAGGAGGACGAGGGGGTTGTGCACACATTGCATTTTGGGTTGCATGTGTGGGCGCTTTTGGCACAACAAAAAGATTAGCCATCACTGCCCCAATACATAATAAGGGTGTTAGGTTGAAGAAAGCTAATATACAAAGCAAATGCATTTCATTTTAAGGGAAAGATCTGGGCTATTTTTTTTTNCCTGTTTAACCTTAGGTCTAGCTCCTCCCACTGCTTCCAGATTTGTTATTGTAGTTCCTTGATCGATGGCTGGTGATTGTTGATGCTGTTCCCAGATTTTAGATGCATTCTTTTTAGGCTAGACTATTAGAAATAGGTTGATTCCAAATTGTTGCCGTGTTGTCCTGTTTCACCCAATTGAAATTACAGTTTTAGTCGTATATAGATTTTAAAACGTATTGTCCCAAAAATACTGTAGCTGAATTCAGGGTTTCTGAAAGAAAGGTGGATTACAAATGTTTTTAAGATGTCAGTCCCTAATATTAGTAGCATAATTATGCAAAAATCAAGGATAATACCTTTGCTAATATATTTATTTTCTCTATTTTTAAACTGCCAACTGTCTTCCTCTCATGTGCTGCCATTTTCAGTAGTTTGCATACTTCCTTGATTTTCCTTTGTTAGACAAAATGTGTTCTCTACAATTTGATTAGAATTTACCCTACTTCATTGCATACTTTGTATAAATGTTGAATCATAGTAATTGCCAGTTTTATTTTCAGTTGTCTTTCAATTATTGCTTTCTATTGTGATGTCTGAGCAAAAGACAGAATATCAGTAATCATAATACTCATGTTTTTAAATGGCAAGATGCTCATCTAGGCTTGAGGAATTTATAGGTAAGGTCATGGGTTGTGGCATGTTAGGAACGTATTTTTCTCAGTGAAGCAATCTGCATGCATAGTTACAAACGTCTCTGCCACTACACTTAGATTGTGTAGACACACGTTTCTTTCTTTTTTACCCACAATTGAAATGTGTTCTTTTGTTTTCTTCTCTGGATATTAGATGATTGCAAGAACATTGCCAACATCATGAAGACGCTGGCCCACAGAGGGTTCATCTTCAAGCAGACCTCCAAGCCCTTTTGATCTCTGGGGCCGGCCGGACAGGGCTGCATGCGGCCGGCTCCTGCTACATGGGTGCGATGGGCTGGAGCATTCGAATGACAGAAAGAGGACAGAGGAACGAGCAACCCCACGACTCCGTCAGTTTTGCTGTTCTGCCAGTAGAGGCTGTATATATGGAACTGGATTCTCTGTGTAGGCCTGAAGTGACTCCCTCTCTAGGGCCAGCTGCCTGCCCGGCCTGGTCCAGCCTGCAGCCCCCTAGGGCGCTTGCTCCACATGGTTAGAGACGTAGATTGTTTTCCCTTTTGTTGGCTTCTGATTCCCATTGGCGTCTCTCTTTCTCTCTCTCTCTCTCTCTCTCTCTCTCTCTCTTTCTCTCTGTGCTCACAATTGCGCCTGTAGCAAGACCGTGGTGCTATGTTCTGGGCACTTGCCCTCTTTATTTTGAGTACATTATCTCAAGAGCTGCGGTCAAGCCCCTCTTCTCCTGTGTGAATCTGTTACTGTGTCTCCTGCGTGTCGGCTAAATATTGACTGAGCAGCATCCAGACAGTCCCCTTTCGGCAGCAGCCTTCTGCTCGTTCCCTTTCTGATTTCAATAAACACTAAGCCCCATCCCTGGTTCCTCCTGTATGTGATTAAGGAAGCTCGGCTCTTTCTGTTCAAGGTGAAGTGCCTGTATTCCATGCCCACCAAAAGCCACCTATATCCCTGGGATTTCATTCAGCAGGGGCTATATTACATGCTAGAGCATCCTGGCTGATGCTCATCTGACGTGCAGCACTTCTTGCACCCAGGTCTCTTGTTGGTGCATCCTCAGAATGTCAGGGGCCCTATTTAAGTGTGTTTTCGTGCTTGCACATGACCATCATGTAGTATGCAGTCCATTGCGGGCAGTGGACATGCCCAATATACTGCTTGTCCAGCCAAGGAGTTGTATTCCTAGCCTCAGTACACTGTAGCAATCAGCACAACAATTGAAATCTCTGTTCTTTTCCCTTTACAATCTGACTAATTTCCCTTTTCACAATGGCTGAAACCAGTGTGTTGCCTGAGAGATATGGCCTATCCAGTTCCCAATGCCCTGCATCAGTATAAAGGGAGGAAGATCAACCTACTTCCTCCTTCTCCTAGCTCAGTGTTTTTCCTGACAGAATAGCCTTCCCTGGCCCTTGCTGAATGGACCCCCAGGGGCATAGGCTCCAGCTGCCATCAACTTGGGAGCCACACCAAGAGGGCTCTGCTTATGCAGCAATCGGACTGTGTGAGCCGATACAGGCACTGGGCCTTCCCAATAATAATGCATGGTGTGTGGATGTTCCAGCTGAACCCAACCTGACCTCTTCATTGGCTCGTTACTCCCATCCTTGCTGTAAATGTGCCACATGAATAAAGTTTGGGGGAAAGGAACTTTGCTCTTATGTGCTGCAAGGGTGTGGGCGTGACCTTGCCAGCTACAGTATCTTCTATTGGGTGTATTGCCACCTCCTTCTAAAGCCTCTTTAAATACAAAATGGCTGGCAGTTTCTGCATAGATATTTGCTTCATTATCAAATATATTTGCACCCACAGTACTTCTTTATAAATACTTAGCGTTCAGGGATTGGTATCTATTTCCTTAGTTCTTCAGTAGGAGAAACTATGAGAAAAGGTACTACTACTCTCTTACTATTCAAGTTCCTGTAAGCAGACTTCTTCTTTCAGCTCCCGACTTGTGGTCTTGAAGAAAGGGAATAGCGATAGGTAGTGGGAAGAGACCAGAGACTAGTATGAAGCCTAGCCATCAGGCAACAGTTAAAAAAACATTAAATTATTAAAGGGCTTTTGTGTGAAATGAGAATCTTGAGCTGGCAAATATTTACACCTCATCTCTGTCTCATGGCACAACCAGGGATAATTTGTACATGGATATATATTGGTTCTGGGACCACAGGAAATGGGAGAGCAAATTCCCTATCTAAAGTATACAAGAAAAAATAGCATATTATTATACATACTGCTAATAGTATCATTGATACTGTTTATACATAGTACAGGTAGTCTTGACTTACAAACACAATCGAGGCTAAAATGCCTGTCCTTAAGTGAGTTTTGCACCATTTCACAACAGTTCTTGCTACCATTATTGACTCACTGCAGCTGTTAAGTTAGTAACACAGTTGTTAAGGGAATCCAGCTTCCCCATTGACTTGGCTTTTCAGAGGGTCACAAAAGGTCATCCCATGACTCCAGAGAATTCATAAATACATGCCAGTTTCCAAGTGTCCGAATTTTTATCATGTGACAATGATAACCGTTATGTTACTTTTTCAGTGCCATTGTAACTTCAAATGGTCACTAAAGTTGTACGTCCACATACCTGTACACATTTTTTGAATTAGTTTTAGAAATAACAATATGTAGTATGTAGCCACGGCAAGAACTATAGGGTTTTTAAAAGCAATAATTCAATTTTAAAGTAGACAAACTGAAGGCCAATGAATAATTGCCAAACATTTGTTGATTGCTATGTGAGATCTGATTTGGAGAACAATGATAAATGGATGACTGGAAACTTTACCAAGTGTATGAAGAACATACTGAATCAGTGTTCTTTATACATGTTTAGAATCAGTATTCTTAGAATCAAATGATTGCTTAGATGGTGTTCTTTTTCCCCTCCATGAGCTACTGTTTTTCAGTACACCTATGGCAGCATTCCTGTAGATGGTTTGGCCAATAGAGATACAAGAGAGCAGTAGCATATAAGCCCATGACAAGCAGAGTCCATGTTTCCTCCCCATTCAGACCAGTCCAACTTTACTTTGCAGGTTCTGCCCTCCAAGGCACTAGAGAATGTAACCAAGCCTCTTCCTTCTCAGGTTAGGGACTCAGGATCAAAGGTCACAGGGATTTTAATGGTTCCCTCTGTGTAATCACCTGATCAGTTTTATTGATTCAGTGTCGATGGAGTCTCTAATTAGTTTTCTATGAAAACGAAGAACTTGGCCTTCGACCTTTCTTTCTGCCAGCAAGAATGTAAATCAAAGGGCGTTGTCATGCACTATTGATTCCTGGTTGCACTTGAGGGGAAAAGGAGGCAAGCACATGAGTTAGGCCTGACAGCTGCAGGCCAGGGGTGTCATAGTCCTCTTTTGACATGTATCTGAAAGAAGATGAATATTCAAAAGAGGAGGAAGCAGCTTTCTATGTAGCAACAGGGACATTGAACCATTAAAGAGTCAGAAAGTTGAAGGTAGCTTTTCAGGCATAGCAATTCGGGCATAGTTTATAGTATTGATTTATTACTAAATAGTCTATAGTTTGATTTATTACTAAATATTTGACTTTCGTATTGCTAAGGGCTAAATCACAATCGTGAGTTCCTCGATTTCCAAAGAATATCCTGAGTATATTCTGTGTTGGTAACAAACTAGAATTCTTTGATCCATATATATTATGCATAAATACAGGTGTTTTCTATTTTGCATAATTTATTCTTCTAAGAAAATACCATTAGTAGTTTTTCAAAGAACTTCTCTGATAACTTGACTTCTTATTCTATATACATTTCTGGCTTGGAGGTCTCACCTCAGTTAATTCTCCCAACGAAATCTACTCCCAACTATGGGATAATAATGCTTTTTTTTAAACTGCCAGCATTCATTTAGCTCATTGCTTCAAATGTTCAACGGAGCTGACCCAACTGTCATATCGGACAGCCCTTCTAGATGGTACAAACAAAAACTGGGCCATCAGCAGCATTACAATAAATATGAGATCTTCACATTTCTCAATAACTATGCAGAACATGGGATTTGCTTCTAAGTAAATAGGAAGGATTGTGCTATGAGGATCCTTAAGAACAATTATTTTATACTGATTGGAAATCCCAACCCACTTGGAGGACATGGAGTTAGAAATGGCTGAACCAGTGTTTTACTAAAGGTGCTTATACACTAATCTGACAGATAGTAGGTGCTATAATAGAAAAAGGAGTCTCTCTCAGTCCAGCAGAGAATGTTCTTAAAAATAATTGTTATTGCAATGTACATTTGCCTCATCTAACTGTCAAGGGGTAAAAATTCCTTGCTTTGAAGCACTAGATTTCTTTAACAAGTTGAAACCTTGGGAGAACAATTTAGGTTGTGAGTATCCTGTAAGCTGCCCTGCTAAGCCACAGAAACATATGCCAACTTTATGAGAATGGGAGGAGGCAGTTGGGATTACTGCTCAACCAGAGATCAGTTTTCTCCATTGATAACGTGATGCACATCCCATGCCCATTGTAGCACGTCTATCCTCCTGCCCTTCCCTCTCAATGACTATGATTCTGGAACAAGAGATTGTGGATTCTATATTTACATCATTCACAAAGCTCAGGAATAGGCAAAATATACAATAAAATCACAGCAACAATCAATTCAGGATTTTGAGCTTGACTCTTCTGTACAATGGCAGTAAACACCGTTCTTCCTGATGTAAGTAAGGGCAAACAAAGTCCTTCAACATAATGGTCCCTACTACAGTATGGGGAGACATATCCTCCTTGCACCTGCAGTCAGTAACTTGATCCTCCAAGATCCTGAATTTGGATCATCATGCTACTCATGGCTTCTTCACCTTCTTGACAGATGAGGAACTGGAAGCAGATTCCCTGCGCTTTCTCTGTTCCAACAAGAAACAACAAGAGGAGTCAATTTCTCAGACAAAAATTCCTGATTCAATTAAAAACCTTGCAAAGCACATATATTCATGTAGAAAATACAGGAGAAAGCCTTACAAATTCTAAGTAGTTAAAAGAACATAACAAATGGAATACATGCTTACATGAGCCCAAGAATAGGGAATTGTTCATTACAATGACATGAAAAAAGGACAAGTACAATTCTGATAGACAAAGCCATAGCACAAAAAGATGTTTACTTGTGGCTTGTACATACTGGATAATGGAAGGAAAATATGACATCAGCTTGCTTAAGGGCGGAATGCTATACATCTGGCAGGCACATAATTTCCTTGGCTGATCCATGTTCTCCCCCTTACACAAACTGCATTTCCAAAGGATACAGGAATTCTACATCCACTGTCCTAGCAAGGGCTTGTAGATATTTCATTTGGACTACCAAATGCCTAAAATTATATTTCAATAGCTCAATACCTTGAAATCAAGAGGCCAATGGGAAGCAACGGAATAATTTACTGATATGACCAAGAATTATAGAGCATGTTAAAGAATAAATGAAAATCATTTTCTAAAGAAAATCAGTGATTGTAATCAAGAAGAGAAGAAATTTATAATTGGGTCCTTAGATCAATCATTCATTCATTCCTACCTAGGCTTCTTTTAAGTGTCTGCAATATAAATGATTAAGAACTTCAGTAAATAAATCCCATCCTCTCCTAATTTTTTCTTCCATTCAGTCATGCCTGATTCTTGGAGACTGCTTTGACAAGTCCCTGCAGTTTTTCTGACATAGTTGGCCTCTGCCTTCTTTCTAGGGCTGAGAGAAACTGACCAGCCCAAAGTCAAACAGCTGGCTTTATGCCTAAAGTGGAACTAGAACTCACAGTCTCCTGGCTTCCACCCTGATCCTGTAGCCACTACACCAAACCAGCTCTATCCTACTTCTTAGGAATGCACAAGCCTATTCTCCAAAACAGCAGGCTCCTGGACTCACAAAGCAGCCTTTTATTATTTTGTTGTCTAAGCGGTACCTGCTAGCATTTGAGGAAATGAGGTCAAAAGATAGGCTTTAAATAGCCAGCACAACCTGAAAACAAAGGTATGGAAACTTCAGAGCTACTCAGTGAGGCTGCTGAATTAATGGGGATGAGTGCATGTGTTTGATAATCTTGATGTGGCAAAAGAGCGATCTTTCAAATATGTCACAAATTCATATCAATCACCTTCTCTAGCTTGGCTTTTCCTATCGCTATGGGAAAAAAATATTCTAAGTTATAATTTACAAGAATCTGTGAGCCTGCTTCACTGTTAATGGAAAGGAATTATTTTAAAATGAGAACACATACATTTCCCCCCTCCCGCCATGACAGAGACACACGTTTTACAGAGACACACGAGTGAGCTTTTCTAACTCCATCCTTAAAGAAAAGATTTTTGATGTTAACAATGTAACTGCACTTTCAAGTAGGCTCAGAAAACAAGGAGCCAGCAGGAGTTCAGATAAAGGCAGCTTAAAAGTCAAATGATTCTGACTCTGAACCTAAGACTTCTTACAGACAAGGTCTTTTCGTTTCCCCATTAATAGGCTGACTTGTGAGCCTAGGAACAAAGAGTGCTGATGTGAGGAATTCTGAGGAGAGTCAACTCATTATGGATGGGCAAGTAGAGTCTGAGTTGTGCAAATCAAAGGCCCTAATCTGGAGTAACTGGCTGTACTTGTGCTTGGAACTAATTTGTTCCAAGT